TGCGCATGAGTCGATAGTTTTATTTGTGATAATAACGCAATGAAACACGACGAATTGTGCGACAATAATTATTTCCGATAATTTTAGTCTGGGCTGTCATACAAAGAAATTATGAACACATGCAAAACCAGAGAGAATGAACAAAATATTAATAACTGATTATGTTGTAGTCAATGTTTGCATTTTTTTGCATAGTAAAATAAAACTCGTAGCTGTAGTTTGATATTTTATTTTATATTTTACAAATAATTTTGTCAGATAAATACGGTAACCAAGTTCAGTGTTCGGTTCTTCCCTCATATTTAAAATATTAAAAAAACAATATAAAATATTTTCTTAATAGTTTTTCATAGTTTAATCACTTTGTATGTTTTAATCACTTTATATGCATGTACGTGTGTGTGAGTGTGTGTAAGAGCAGTGTGTGTTAGAGTATGTGTGTGCGCGCTGAATGTTAGAGAGTGTGTGTGAGTGTGTGTGCGTGTAAGAGTGTGTGTGTGTGTGTGTGTGAGAGAGTGTGAGCGTGTGTGTGTGTAAGAGGAGTGTGTGTTAGAGTACGTGAGTGCGCGTGAATGTTAGAGAGTGTGTTTGTGTGTGTGAATGTGTGAGTGTGTGTGTGTGTGTGTCTGAGAGTGTGTGAGTAAGCGTGTGAATGAGTGTGTAAGTGAATGAGTGAGTGAGTGTGTGAGTGAGTGAGTGTGTGTGTGTGAGTGAGAGTGAGTGTGTATGTGAGAGTGTGTAAGTGAGTGTGAGTAAGTGAGTATGAGTGAGTGAGTGAGTGTGTGTGAGAGTGTGAGAGAGAGTGAGTGAGTGTGTGTGTGTGTGTGTGTGTGTGTGTGTGTGTGTGTGTGTGTGTGTGTGTGTGTGTGTGTGTGTGTGTGTGTGTGTGTGTGTGTGTGTGTGTGAGAGTGTGAGCGTGTGTGTGTGTAAGAGGAGTGGGTGTTAGAGTACGTGAATGCGCGTGAATGTTAGAGAGTGTGTTTGTGTGTGTGAATGTGTGAGTGTGTGTGTGTGTGTCTGAGAGTGTGTGAGTAAGCGTGTGAATGAGTGTGTAAGTGAATGAGTGAGTGTGTGAGTGAGTGAGTGTGTGTGTGTGAGTGAGAGTGAGTGTGTATGTGAGAGTGTGTAAGTGAGTGTGAGTAAGTGAGTATGAGTGAGTGAGTGAGTGTGTGTGAGAGTGTGAGAGAGAGTGAGTGAGTGTGTGTGTGTGTGTGTGTGTGTGTGTGTGTGTGTGTGTGAGAGTGTGAGCGTGTGTGTGTGTAAGAGGAGTGGGTGTTAGAGTACGTGAGTGCGCGTGAATATTAGAGAGTGTGTTTGTGTGTGTGAATGTGTGAGTGTGTGTCTGAGAGTGTGTGAGTAAGCGTGTGAATGAGTGTGTAAGTGAATGAGTGAGTGTGTGAGTGAGTGAGTGAGTGTGTGTGTGAGTGAGAGAGTGTGTGTGTATGTGAGAGTGTGTAAGTGAGTGTGTGTGAGTGAGTGTGTGTGTGTGTGTGTGTGTGTGTGTGTGTGAGTGTGTGTGTGTGTGAGTGAGTGAGTGAGTGTGTGTGTGTGTGTATGTGAGAGTGTGTAAGTGTGTGTGTGTGTGTGTAAGTGTGTGTGTGTGTGAGAGAGTGAGTGAGTGTGTGAGAGTGAGTGAGTGAGTGAGTGAGTGTGTGTGTATGTGAGAGTGTGTGAGTGTGTGTGTGTGTGTGTGTGTGTGTGTGTGTGTAAGTGAGTAAGTGAGTGTGTGTGTGTGTGTGTGTAAGTGAGAGTGTGTGTGTGTGTGTGTGTGTGTGAGTGTGTAAATGTGTGTGTGTGTGTGTGTACGTTCTTACTTGTTCAGCCACTAGAGTCGTCAGGTGTTTGACTCTCTCGGGGTCGGTGTGAGCCTGTGGAGCTCCAGGTTTGGTCTCGGCTGAAGCGCTGCTGGAACTCTGCGTCTGGAGGCAGAAAATCAATATTTCAAATAGTTTATTATGTGCACGTTTCAGAATTTTTGTTTCTTTATATTTGTTTTAATTATAAAGATTTGTAATAATTATTTTTAAAATAAAAATTAAATCAAATCTTTAATAATTATATGTTATAATTTGTAGCAACCACACATGCATAAATATCTGTTAGTACACACAGATCTGTGAAATCTCACGCTCTAAAATAAACGTTAGATAGAATATAAAACGAGATTTGTTGTGTTTGAGTCGCAGCCGGAGGCCGTTAGAGACTGACACACACACACACACACACACACACACACACACACACACACACACACACGCTTTGATCCAGAGCATATAGACATCACTGAATCCATTTCACACTCAGTCATAGTGAAAACACACACAAAGCCGCGAGAACAGAGAGCGGTCACACACACACACACACACACGTCTACCTTCGCTTCAACACACTCCTCTTCCGGCTGAAAGAGGCAGAGAATCAGACAAACAAGCGTAGATAATGAGCATCATCAGATCCTTCAGCTCATGTTGCTGGAATGGCTTGATTTTAATTAATCAGGGTTTAATTACACATACTGTCTGACGAATTTACACGCTTACATATATATATATTTGTATAAATAAAATACATGGTTGTACCAGAGTAGCAAAGTAGAAAATTAAACATGGGAAATGCATAGATGTTTAAAAATAATCATTTAAACAGACTTTATTGCATTTTAAAGCTAATTTTATTGCATATTTTATTTAATTTTATAGGAGCGGTTAAATCTAGAATAATTCTTAAAAAATTAATTTCCACAACTTTTCCAGATTTTTAAACATAATTTTATAGAGATCAGTGATCACACTCACAAATAGCAATTTCTAGCTGATAATTCTTTTAAATATAAATAAATAATTGTATATAAATATATAAAAATAATAATTATAGTTAAAAATGTAATATATATAGATAAAATAGATAGAGAGTGGGAGAAGAACTGAGATTAGAAATATTTATTTAAATTTTTTCATTTATTTATAGTATTATAAAAAAAAAAATAATAATTTCAAATCACTTTTTGATAAATTTTCAGGATTCTATTAATACGTCTGTCCTGGAAATCTGGATTCCAGTTTCTGCAGGAGAATCTGCTCAATAATGCATGAATGTGTTTGACGAACCTGTTGACCTCCGAATCTTTTCTTCAGAGCCTCAATCTGTTCGTTCTCCAACTTCTGGAACAAAGGACTGACCTGTAGGAGAGGTAAAGAAAATAAATAAGTAAAAAAAGTTTTTAAAAAAAGTAAAGGAGAGGAGAGGTAATAATTATAATAATAATAATAATAATAATAGGAAAAAAAGTTAAGAAATTAAAAAAATTAAAAAAATTAAAAGAATAAAAAAAAAAAAAAAAAAAAAAAAGTCAAGGAGAGAAAAAAAAAGAAAAAAAAAGAAGAGTAAAAAAATTAAATAATAATAGGTAAAAAAATAAGTAAAAAGCATTTTTTTTTTTTAAAAAAAGAGTAAAGGAGAGGAGAGATAATAATAATAATAAGAAGAAAAAAAGTTTTTAAAAAAATTAAAATTAAAATAATAAGTAAAAAAAAAAAAAAAAAAAAAAAAAGAGTAATTTTTTAAAATAATAATTGGTAAAAAAATGAAAAAATAAGTAAAAAGCATTTTTTTTTTTAAAGTAAAGGAGAGGAGAGGTAAAATAATAATAATAATAATAATGTTAAAATAAGTTAAAAAAAGTAATAAAAAAAAAAATAAGTAAAGGTTTTCAAAAAAGAGTAACAAATAAAAATAATAATAATAATAATTAGTCAAAAAAAAGTAAAAAAATAAATAAAGGAGTAAAAGTAAAGATATTGGAGTAGTAATCAGCATGTGTGGTGTAATGCAGGGAGTGTTCACCGTGCCGATGCGGTGCCCGGCCGGCAGTGAGCAGACGAAGCTCCCCGGGCCCTGGAGCTGGGCACTGGCACAGGTGGGCGGAGCCTGGAGCTGGACACGGATGGTGTGGCTGACCGTCGGCATATACGGCTCCAGCACGGCAGACAGGAGACACGCCACGTTCACACACACCCCCGTCACGGTCCCGGCGCGCTGCCTGCAGCACACACACACACGCACACACACGCGCACACACAGACACACACACGCACAGAAACACACAGACACACGCGCTTAACTAGTTAGCTTTAATGTTTTTAAATTTTTTTTTACTTCTCTTTAGAATTAATGGTGACACTTTACAATAAGATCCCATAAGTTAACTAACAATGAGCAATACATTTGTTACATATATATATTTACATTTTTAAAATGATTTTCTAAAAAAAAAAATAGAAAATTCAAAATTAGATTAATAAATGCTTTAGAAGTTTTTTTTCTGAAGTATTGTTAATTGTTAGTTCATCCTAACTAATGTATAGTGTGTGTATAATGTTTTCATTCAGATTTCATGAAGGGTTTGCGCATTGCCGTAGCTCCACACACACACACACACGCCGCGCGTCACTCGCCTGTCGTCGTCTCCTCCTTTAATCTTCTTCCAGGGCTCGTTAACCTGCATGTACTGGTTCCCGTGACGAGAGATGTTCAGGATGCACTTCAGAGCGTCACGGATCCTGGAACACACACGGCGTAGAGTTAGGAGCGCGTGCATCTGTACACATGCACAATATTATAAAACACAAGCATGCATGCGGAAGATTATTGAGAGAAATAAATGCTTCTTTATCCAGTTATTTTATAATCGGAGCTCCCACGGCTTTTGTTTAACTAATCATTTGTTTGCGATAATTGGATTTATAGGAATCATTTTATACAATTATTTTCCGTGAGTTTGGAAATCACAAATTTGACCTTATATTTCCTGGTAACCCTGAGTTATAGAGGATTACCAGCTGCTGAAATACTATAGAGCTGAGCAGAACTAGACAAATTCAATTACAGGCTAGTAGATATGAACGATTCTGGAGAAATTGAAAATTATATATATATATATATTTTTTTATATAATCACAATTTTACCATGATTCTGAATAGACAACTAAACAAAATAACATTTCATTAATTTGAATCTTAAAAAAAAAAATCAGTTTGAATCAATGAGGATTCAATGACTCGCTTATAAAGACTTCACTTGTTTCATAACTGGATGAATCAGTGTTTTTAAATTAATCTCTTGAATGAATGATTCAATGACTCACTCATAAATACGTCACTTGTTTCATAACTGGATGAATCAGTGTTTTTAAATGAATCTCTTGAATGAATGATTCAATGACTCACTCAAAGACTTCACTTGTTTCATTACTGGATGAATCAGCGTTTTCGAACGAATCTCTTGAATGATTGATTCAATGACTCACTCATAAATATGTCACTTGTTTCATTACTGGATGAATCAGCGTTTTCGAACAAATCTCTTGAATGAATGATTCAATGACTCACTCAAAAATACTTCACTGGTTTCATTACTGGATGAATCAGCGTTTTCGAACGAATCTCTTGAATGAATGATTCAATGACTCACTCAAAAATACTTCACTTGTTTCATTACTGGATGAATCAGCGTTTTCGAACGAATCTCTTGAATGAATGATTCAATGACTCACTCAAAAATACTTCACTTGTTTCATTACTGGATGAATCAGCGTTTTTGAACGAATCTCTTGAATGAATGATTCAATGACTCACTCATAAATCCGTCACTTGTTTCATTACTGGATGAATCAGCGTTTTCGAACGCATCTCTTGAATGAATGATTCAATGACTCACTCAAAAATACTTCACTTGTTTCATTACTGGATAAATCAGCATTTCTGAACGAATCTCTTGAATAAATGATTCAATGACAAATAGAGTCACTTATCGCTACCTACAGGTGTAATGATGTAATACACAATTTTTATTTGAAGCAAAAGGTAATTTACTCTATTTTGATCACTACCGCTGACATCACTGTTTATATCCGAACTATAAACTTCGCCGTGATCGTACTTGTCAAAGGTTGTAGCAACTCATAATAAAAAATGCACATAATGTAATGAGTATTCCATTATTATTGTAATAAAATGTTCATAACGTAATAATTTTCTCAAAACGTAATAAAATCTTTAAGCTCATAATGTAATAATTTTTACATTAATGTATTAAACTGACCAAAAATTTAACATTTTCATAATTGTAATAGCTTTTAAAACATAAAAAAATTATTAGTTAAAGAGAGTAGATAAAGTTATTACATTACGAGTTGCTACAAAGGTTTAATAGACATAAAGCCAAATCACTGTCATTCAGGAACAATCCAAATGTGTGAATCTCTGCATTTCAGGCCATTCACGCACGTTGATGAGGCATTGTGGGTAATCCTGACCTGACTTTATCCAGCAGCGAGATGTACTGCTTGAGCTCCCAGCACACCTGAGCGATGAGACGCTTATCGTCTTCATTCAGGAGCATCTCAGGAACACAGCCGTCGAAGAACTTACTCACAAACATCCCTGCCCTGCGGAAACATCATTAATACATGCTGAGATTAACATTAACGAAGATTAATAAATGCTTTGTTCATCGTTAGTTCATGAAACCTTATTGTCAGGAAAACTATGGCAAAACTACTGGGACTCTAGTGCTTTGAAATGGATTGATTTCATTAATATTTCATGCCAGCCTTTTGAACTTCTCAGGAAATGTAGGAATTTATTTTAATCAACAAATTGTATTATGTGAAGCTTAGCATCAATGATAAAAAAAAGAAAGAAAAGCAAAAGTTAATAAAACTGATGCAAAAGGGGAGATTTACACATTGTAATTCATGTGTTTTTACTAACTGAATAACTCGTGGCAAAAGTGTAAATAAAAAAAATGTAAAACCAAATAAGAGCAATCTGATCAATCAAGATGCATGAAGTGTTCAGAAATGTTCAGAAAGTGTGTGTGTGTGTGTGTGTGTGAGCATGAGCGAGTGAGTGTGTATAAGTGTGAGTGAGTGAGTGTTTGAATGAGTGAGTGTGAGTTAGTGAGTGTGTGAGAGTGAGTGAGTGTGTGTGTGTGTGTGTGTGTGTGTGAGTGAGTGAGTGTGTGTGTGTGTGAGAGTGAGTGTGTGTGTGTGTGTGTGTGTGTGTGTGTGTGTGTGTGTGTGTGTGAATGAGTGAGTGTGTGAATGAGAGTGAGTGAGTGTGAGAGTGAGTGAGTGTGTATAAGAGTGAGTGTGTGAGAATGAGTGAGTGAGTGTGTGAATGAGTGAGTGAGTGTGTGTGTGTGAGAGAGAGAGTGTGTGTGAGAGAGAGAGTGTGTGTGAATGAGTGAGTGTGTGTGTGTGTGTGTGAGAGAGAGAGTGAGTGTGTGAATGAGTGAGTGTGAGTTAGTGAGTGTGTGAGTGAGTGTGTGTGAGAGTGAGTGAGTGTGAGTGAGTGAGTGAGTGAGTGAGTGAGTGAGTGAGTGTGTGTGTGTGTGTGTGTGTGAATGAGTGAGTGAGTGAGTGTGTGAGAGTGAGTGAGAGTGAGTGTGTGTGTGAACGAGTGAGTGAGTGTGTGTGTGTGTGTGAATGAGTGAGTGTG